AAATCAGGGTCTGCTGCTGTCCCTTAGCTTTTCTGCTCAAGGCTGAGGCTCTACCACTTGAGTCACAGCTCCACTTCTAGCTTCTTTTTTGCTGGTTAACTAGAGATAAAAGAGTTTCACAGACTTTCCTGCCCCAGGTGGCTTTGAACTGGGATCCTCAGATCTCAGTCTCCTGAATATCTAGGGTTACAAGTGTGAGCCACCGGCGCCTGGCTTATGTTATACTTTGAATTTTTAAATTAAAAGCAAAAGTACCAATTTTTTTTTTTAAGGATTAAAAGCTAAGGTGGAGAAAACCTCACAGAAAACCGGAAAGGCAAAGAGAAAACGAGACAGAAAAGGTCAGATACACGCAACTCAATCTGGGGACATGGAGAATATCCACTAATTAGAATCCCAAATCAAAGACACCAGCCAACTGCAGCCGCAGCTCGGTCTGGGTGCTTCGTGTTGCTCAGGAGGGCGGCAGCCATGGAAGCCAGGCTGGGAGAGCTCCAGCCTAGGCAGAGCAGAGCTAGCGCCCCCTGGATCTGGCTTCTCCCGTTCTCAACACCTGGGCCTGTATCCCAGGGCTTATCTGGAGGTAGGAGGTGCATGCTGTTAAGTCCTCTGTCAAGGACAGCCTTCTGGTAGCTTTTTGGAAGGGAGGGTGTGTGAAGGCAGGCCTGGGACCTGAGCTACCAACCATAGCTGTTCCCAGAATTCCCACACCTAGTGTTCTAGCCCTGAACTGCTTTGCCCCCCTATACAGGACAGCCACGTTAGAGCTGTCTGTCCATCCATCAAGGAGAAGGGACAACAGAAAGAAAAGCAAAAGCCGGGTGACAGGGTGAAGGGTAGAATGACTCGCCTGTCATCATTTACAGGAAAACATTACTACCATCGAGCAATTTTTTTTTTAATTTAGGCTACAAAAACCAAAGTGCCAGATGAGGTAACAGATGTGAAAAACAACTGGAGGGAGGTGTTGCTCACCAACTGCTCACGGCCACCACACTTGCGTGGAGGGCCTAGGGAAGTCTGTTTCTGCCATTTTCTTTTTTTTTTTTTTTCCTAGTTGTGGGGTTTGAACTCAAGGCCTGGGCACTGTCCCTGAACTTCATTTGCCCAAGGCTAGCACTCTATCTTCAGAGCTACAGCACCATTTCAGGCTTTTTCTGTGTGTGGTAATGAGGAATGGAACTCAGGGCTTCATGCGTGCTAGGCAAGCACTCTACCACTGAGCCACCTCCCAGCCCTCTGCCATTTTCTTGCATAGTTCTCCAAAATTTTTACTGCTTTTATAATGAAATGAATTAAATATAAAACAATTTCATTGGCATTACTGGGATTTGGATACTCAGCTCTGTGCTTTCTACCCCTTGAGCATTTTTTAAGAAGACCAATGATCTTTCCGTCATTGGGCACTAGGCAGATGCCTTTTTTTTTTCTTTTGGCAGTACTCAGGGGTTTGACCTCAGCATCTCGCCCCTGCTCAGCTTTACTTGATCAACTAGTCTAGTGCTCTAGTACTTGGGCCATACCTCCAGCCCTGTTTTTTGATGGTTATTTTGGAGATGAAGTCTCAGAGGTTTTTCAAACCATGATCCTCTGGCGCTCAGCCTCCTGAGTAGCCATCGTGTTCCCTGGGGTGAAGCCTTCCCCTCTCTGGGACTCTGTCAAAGGAAGATGGGGCGGGATAAGGTCTGCGTGGCTCCATAGTGAGACAGGCACTTTTAACAGTCTTCTGTGTCCAAGTTTTCAAAGCAGCAAGAAATTAATAGACTGTCTCAACTCCTAAGTGTGCCAATTTTACAATCTGCATTTTTCAATTACATTAAAAGCATTTTTCGAAATTGCTCCATTCTCTCCTTAATGACATGCGATGAGAACGGAGAGGCCCACCCCTGAGGACAGAGCCTGCACCCTCTCACCACCCTTGTCTGCTGGCTGGCATCTACGGGAGAGCAGGCGGCCCGGCCCTCGGCTCAAGGGAGTGATGGTCCTACAGAGAGGTACTGCCGACTTCAACGCAGCACAGCCGTGTCTCACGCCCCAGCCCGGGGTTTCTTCTGTTACAGAACAAACTTGAGAAGCAACAGGGACTGGGAAAAAAAATCTCGTTTGTTGGCTTCAAAATCATCTCGGCTTTCACATGAGTGAAGAGGAGTGTCAAAAACACTTCACCTCCCACAGAGGGAAAGTTCCAGCTCAAACACTCCCAGCTCTTCCCAGAGGCTCCGCGGCCTGGCTGTGGACCAGCCAAAGCCAAAGGCCCCTCTGAGGCCAGTCAGATGGCTTACAGCTTTCCCTGGAATGTGGGAAGAGACAGGAGTGTGCGTGGGTCCAGGGCTGTGTTCCCTGGGCTGAAGCCTTCCCCTCTGTGAGACTCTGTCAAAGGAAAATGGGATGGGGTAAGTGCTGCGTGGCGCACACGCACGCATGCACACGCGCACGCACACACAGGCCATTTTCTCCCTACCTTCACCTAATTACCCTTGATACACTGTTAATCAGTGACTCCCCAAATACCAAATGCCCACCACCACAACCAAACCTCCTCCCTCCCCAGCTGCGTCTCTCATTTCCAGTGGCTCAGCCCAGCCTCGTGCCTGGAATAAACCGCCCGCCATCTGCATAATGCCAACAACCCTTCGCTCCACACACCAAATCAACTCTCAATTACATTTCATAAAATCCATCAGGAATAATTCTTCCCAAACTGAACTAAAACCCTTGCTCTGGCACTTGGATCCATAAATCCCTGGTCTTTGAATGTGAAATAGATCACATTCTACAAAGTGCCTCTAAGATCCCCCAATATAATCAGAGTGGCTAACAATGATAAATCAGCAGAGTCCTGTCATATATAAAAATGCAAATCCAAACCACCATGGAAATCATCTCCACTCCTCCTGGCCCTCCGCACAACCACCGGAATTAAAGCTGGACGAGCTTGGGCCCCACGGGGGAGGAGGAGGCATGCCCGCTCCTCCCCCCACCTCCAGAGGCAGGAAGGAGCTTCACTCTTTTTGCTTGGAGTCTGAGGGCCAGCTTCCCGGCTGGCCTCCATCACCGTCCTGCTGCGTGACTGGACCGGCCCCTCAGCCCTTTGGTGGGTTTAGAACTGCACTGGGAAGGGCTGGGCCATGGCCAGCTCTCTGTCCTCTCCTCTGTGTTCCTTTCAGTGGCCACAGAGATGGGAAGCCACATGGGAAGATTCAAACTGAGGTCTGCGGCCTCTGACCCAAAGTTCTTTCCTTCAGGTGCCATCTGGCATCACCTGACTGGAGGACGGTGGCACAGCTCCCCTCCTGGGTCTCGTCAGCTGTGCACCACGTCACCAGCATGAGCTGAAGGCCGTCTCCCATCACGGGACCGTGTGCACGGACCTGGCCCTCCATGTACAAAGCACCATCAGCACCAACAAGCTCCAATAACCTCTGCAAAATGTCAAAGTACTGATCTCACTAACACGAAGAATGAGACAGTTCACAAAAATCTGCATGTGTGCCAAGCTGGGCTGTGCAACGTTCACAGATCTAAGAGATATGTCAACCTGCAGAAGTCGAGCTGGTCTGTCTTTTCCACTATCGTTTTTGAAGCAATCAGTGCAGACACGGGGCAATGGGAACGCATTTCTGCAGCCTCTAGTTTGGGTCAGGCACAAGGCTGGATCATCTTTTTGAATCCACAGCAACACCCTTAATCATTCCATTTTACCAATAAGGAACTGGAGGACCAGAAAGGCTAAGTGATCTTCCCAAAATCACACAGCTACCAAGCAGCAATACAGAACAACACTTTAAGTCTGCCAAACAATTTAAGTTAAACAGAGAGAGAGAGAGAGAGCATGCTTTAGCTAAAGCCTGGGTATAAATCAAAACCTATTTTCATCATATTAAAGCAGCAGAAGAGACAACATTTTTGTATAGGCATGTTCACTGCAGTACTCATTGCTTATAAATGGAAGCAAGAAACTATAGGGAACCACATGGAAGAGTGAGGCATACAAATATTTGGGGAAATTTTTGGCTTTGTTTAGGTGCTGGAGATGAAAACAGAACCGAAGGCCATGCACGTATTAGGCAAGTGCTCTACCCCCTCAGTCCTGAAAGTTTTTAAAGATGAAAAAAAATTCCATGCAAATAATACAAAAGATAGGTTTGGCTGGGTGCCAATGGTTCATGCCTGTAATACCAGCCATTCAGGAGAGTGAGAACCAGAGGAGCATAGTTCAAAGCCAGCCTGAGCCAAAAAGCCAGAGATTTCATCTCCAAGTAATCAGCAAAAAAAAAAAAAAAAAGGCGAGGGGTGGCTTTGAAGGTATGTATGGTTTAAGTAATACAGTACCTTCCTAGCAAGCACAAGGTCCTGAGTTCAACTTCAGTGCATATACATATAAATATATATATACATATATGTGTATATATATCTGTAGGAACATAGTATCCCAGACCAGAAAGGACTTTAGAGGAATGAGATGCTAATAATCCTATCCTGGTAGGATTATTATCAATGATTTCTATTTTCTCCCTCATATTTCATGTAGCTTCAAAGGTTTTCACAATATGCATCTATTACGTTTGTGATCAAAAATAAAAAGTTGGGGCGGGAGTAACTGCTTTTCTGATCCTGGTGGCACAGGCCTATAATCCCAGCACTCAGAGGCTAATGTGGGAAGACTGTCAGTGTGAGGCCAGCCTGAGCTACATAGTAAGCCCTTGTCTGAAAACAGAGAGAAAAGCATGTTACTGAAGCTTGTTAGTGAAACAAAAACAAAAACAAAAACTCCACAGCAAATTATTCTGTGACTCGGTAAAGCCTCTCCTGTCTAATAGCTCTGGGTTCCGGAAATGGACAGCAGGTTTCCTGGGAGCAGGAAGCAGGCCAGAGCTGCTTGGTTCCCGGAGGGGGCTTGATTCCCTCCTCCACTTGGGGAATACAAGCAAGGCAGCGGAAGGCCGCTCTGTCTGTGTTTGGCAAAAGCAGATCACATTGCCTTTTTCCTTCAAAATGGCATCAAAGTCTGAATCCTCCCTTTACATGCAGTGGGTGTGCAAACATGTAGCGCTGAGTGAGTTCCGGGAAATGAGTGACGTCTGTAAAAGGCTACCCATGCTGGGATTATAGCTGCAAAGAGAACCAGCGCAGGCCAGGAAGGGATCACAGGGAAAGAGCACAGAGCAGCGCTGCACAAGTATGCGTCACTGTTTTCTTAATTGCTCGGCTTGTAAATTTTTCAAAACTAATATAAGCATATTTTACAGCTCACAGAACATTTAGAACATATTAAAGCAAGTATCTTTCTACCGCAGTGTGCCCAACTGAAATTTATGAATTCGGAAGCTAGGCTTTCAGAAGAAGAAAGGGCTGGCACGCCACGCTCTGTAGATTAATCAGATGGATTGTGTTGTTTTCCTCCAGATCAGAGAAGAACCATCTCTCAGTAAATGTTACCTTGAGTCAAAAGATTCTTTCACGTTCTAGAAGCTTTGAGGGGCCACTGATAGTCTTACTGTGCCCCCTAGAGGCAAGAAAAATTAACGCAGACAAAATAAAAATCCTTTCCTCAAAGCCAGCAACAAAACCCAGCAAATGTTTTAAAATCTTTATTGATCACTTTACACATATAAAATTTGGTGCCAGTGCTACAGAGAATATGAGAGTGGGTTTGGCATGGCTCCCAGACTCGGGAAGCGTGCAACCTAGCAAGCTACTCAGGTAGAATAAACCACCACTGCCCATCAGAGATGGAACAAATTCTAGTGGGGGAAAGCAAGACCCCAGCCCATGCTGAGTGCCAACCAGGTGCCAGAGCAGCTGGTGCAATTCACTACCCGCAGCATCGACTGCTCTAGGAAGTACAGCAAGGCACCAGTAACCATCTCCACTGCACACATAAACAGGCTGCTTCTTACACTGCTGCCCCCTCTCTGACATCAGGGACCAGCAAGCCCAGTAAAGCCTTCAGCCTCGCCAGGACTTCCCTCCCCCAACTGCCCACCAGCCCCTTCCAGTCCCCAATCTCTCCTCCCATTCTGAATCCTCAGATGCCTGACACATTTTTCATACTGGAACATTGCTCAAAGTCAACTTGTCCAAAACCAATTTTCCAAATAACTCAGCCACTGAAAACTGTCAGAAACACCTTAGAAGAAAGAGGCCCCTAACCTGCTGTTGACATCTGAGGCTCATAAAAGCCTTGGTTTTCATGACACCTCCATAAGAGAGGGTCAAAAGAAACTGACCTCAGCAGTAGGCTCAGCACTGCCCCCTGAGGGCAAGTGTGGTCTGCATCTGGAGTCTCCTCCAGTGGGAGAAGCGGG